TAAACTCCCTCAAGTCTTAGATTAAAGGTTGAATTTATTCCAATTAGCATCTCTGAAGGTAATACTATTGCAACAGTTCATACCATATCCATTTTGTGTAGTAGACTTAATTATGAAAAGAGGAAGTAACTGTTCCGAAAGATGCATACAAAACCATATGCAAGACTAAGCTGCAACTGCATTTACAGACACGAGCTATGCTCCCTCTAGGTGCGTAGATGTACCCTTCTTTTAGTACAGTCAATGTTGACTGTACTAAAAATAATCTCTTTTCTGTTAAGGGGATTGCTCCTTGAACAGCAACACTACCTGTTAATTGCTGTTACTCTTCATCACTAAGTCATTTCTATAATGAAATCCCAACTATTAAAGTATTTGAGGTTTGATATTTTGCATTTGTGCTTCTCAATACTGCATTGCCTTCAGAGATATTCAGATTGTGGAAAAATACACACATATGCATGCAAATCGCAGAATTCAGACTCATTCAGTTTCTACAATAAGAAAGGAGGAAACAAACATTTCCTGTCAAGTTACGCTTTGCTAATCTCCGTCCATGAATCAAGCATATCTTTTTTCTTAAAAAAAAAACCACACCAAGTCTTAAGTAGTATAAACCTTGCCACAAAAGAAAGCTTAAAAAACATCTTTAGCAACAGAATTAATTACCTAAAGTTTTCCATTACTATGCAAGATTTCTGAGCTTCTTTATGTGATAGGTAAAGGACAGTAACATAAACGCTACCGTCTTTTCTCAGCTAATACTCCCACAATGAAAATGCACCAGACCGACACATTAAGGAAGCTGAGCCACACAAAAGAAGTTGAAGAACATGTAGCTCTTTCAAAGAGGAGGATTCCTCAATTTAGTATGTTACAGAAATAATCTTTGCCAGTCTAGCCTGATATGAAACTGTCTTCATCAAATGCTTTTTCTCCATGTTATGCTTCCTACATTAGAATATTTCCATCAAGCTGTTTTCTACCACCTGTGGGTTATTAACTGATAAATATTACATCGAGCAAGTATAACCAACATCCAGTGAAAGCTACTTACCAGGGGCACAGTCCTTGCAGCATTTTTCACCGAAAGGATACTGATGTTCTTTGCATTTCAGTCCGAAGCAATGGCTAATAGTGACTGCCAGCAGCAAGAACAAAACAGTAGAAAAATGTGAGTAAAAACCTACAGCTACCATAATGCAGCCCTACTGTCCCAGCAAAATCTTGATAGCACCAAACTCTTGGAGAAGTGATACTAAACCACTGGCGACCAGAACATATGTCAGTTGCTGGGAAATTCCCAGCATGTGCTCCACGCCCCCATCCTTCTTCCACATCCCGCAAACCTATTTTTTGCAGTTCACAACTAAAATATTCATAGGCAGAAAGACAGCATGCTGAACAGCGTTATGAAGAGATTTCTATTCATAGCCTTAAAACAGAGTGCCTCCAGCCAGGTACATACCTCTCTACATAGTATTAAAGCACAGGCCTCAAATGCCAGGAGAACTAGAAGAGATGATCCTTGTCATTGTAAAGAGGAGTATTAAAGCGATACAGAGGTAACGCCTGAAAACCTTTACGGATGAGAGCTGTAGGTAAAATGAAACATAGCCCACATAGGCTTGCTCCTTAAAAGGCAAAGTACAGGCAGATTCTCCCCCCTTGGTCTCATGATAACGGTAGACCCGTGACTTTTATTGCTGCATAAAACCCAATGTTGTTAATACATTTCTCTTCTCAGGGAGAGTGCAGGATCACAAATCATCAGTCATCTTACTATTGCCCTCAGGAGCTAGCAAAAGCTACAGATGAGAAGCATTTGCAGTCTCCATTTCCGACTCTTAATATCAGACTCCCTGCATTGCCATTGAAGAAAAGTAAGCTCCTGACTCCAAAATAGAGACTTGTATTACCCCTACCATTTGCTCCCATGGAAATAAAAGCTTCCAGCGGAGGTGCGCTCTGAAAGCAGAGGATGCAATATTTGCGTACCAGCTACTTTTGATGCCTGTTTGTTCCACAGAAGCATGTTAACTCTGGAATCCAAACCCCCAGAAGGCTTCCCCACCCATCTGTGCAAGCCACCAACAATAGGACAGCAGTGGAGGAGGCTGAGTAGCACACTGGCATTGCAGTCCTGCCCTCACCTAACACAAGCATGTAGAGTAGAGAAAAAAGTGATCACACTAGGAATTAGTAGGTTTAACTCTCCAGGCTCACTATTAGAATTTTACTAATTTGATCTTATTGATCTAGGATCTAAATTTTACATCTTCCTGTTCTAAGAGATTTGAGCAACTCTTATGCAAAGGCCCAAGTAAACAAGACATCCTACAGCAATCAAAGATGTTCTGTTTACGTTAGTTAAAAAAAACATAGCAGACCTCCCAGACAAAGCAGATCTACAGTCAATTTACATCTAAATGCAAAGGAAATTTTTGATTAGAACAGAAGTACATTTGGAATTCAATTAGCCTGCAGTATTTGGGAGGACTGAACAGCAATATCGTGGCATGTTTTATCCAGAACTGCTGCTTTTCATTTCTTTCTTAAATTTCTGTAAGACTGTTTAAGAGTGGAAAGGGAGACAAAAGCGAGGCAGAACAGTAACTATTTTTCTATTTCTCCTACTTTCCAAGCATTTTGGAAAACAACCACTATGGAAAAGAAGTATACCTTAAAGCCGTTCTCTCCAAAAGGGAGCAAAGCTGACAGAGCAAGTAAACCATACCAGCTGAACTTCAACTACCTTCACACTCAGTACCTGCATGCAGGAAATACCCCAATCTCTTCCCACTGTAGTATCACACTCAATGCCATTTAAGTGGCTTTACGCCTCATGACTCAGTCATTCCCTCAGCACTATTTAACCAGACTTTTTCTTCCCCAATTCTCTTTCACTAACAGTAGCAGAGTTTACCGATTCAATAAATCGAATTATTTTTCAGTAGAAACTGAAAGTGCAAACTCCTATGATGTTCATATACAAGGTAAGGTTAAAATTCTGCTACATACATTTAAACTGAAAACTCCCAAATCACTACAGCAGTGATGATGAAGCATTGATATTCTTGTTAAGGATACTTTAATACAAATTAAATGCTCATTTAATAAAAGCAGTTAGCACACAAACTTCATATACCATCTTGAGAATTCAACTTCTATGTATGGCATCCTTAAGTGTTACCAGGCTTGATATTGCCAGATTCCTTTACATGGCCACATTATGCAAGTAAGTAAAACAGGGAGAGAACACAGTGATTATCCCATAAAATTTCGCATGTAGCACACTCCTTGGCTGGATTTTCACCAATGCAAATTAACCTCTCCCAAATGCTGCTTGGCATTGCCATGGGGACCACGTGTGCCACAGGCTGCTGCCAAAAAACAGCCTGGATGCAGGTACTCTGGTTGTAGTAGGAGAGGAGAGCTTCAGAGCAGTGAGTTGAGCCATGCTGTGGGTCAGAAATAAGACCCTGTTCTGCTTTTTTTAATGTACATGTATCATTTTTGACTATAGATGTTTATCCTAGATATTCTATACAAGCGGTTGAATTCTGGAAAGACAAAACATGTCCATGAGATAGCAGCACTCAGATAGCAAGTCCTATCAACAGTAGGCAGTTTGCTTGTGTACATGGAGGAAAAAAAAAAAAAAACCACACCAAAAACACCCCCATGGAACTCAAAACTAGTGCTTAATAAAAGGCTTTAAGGAAAAAGTCACTAGATTCCTCAGGGATTACAGGCAAGTAAGGGTTCCCCTATGGGAAAGGACCTACAAGAATCTGAGGAAGATTGAGTGCATATAAAATACTTGAACAATTTAAAAAAAAAAAATAAGTCTATGGACAAACTAGAATAGTTTGAACTTCTAAAATTCCAAGACGGGAATAATCTCATGTACCTCCAAATCTCACCATGCAGACCACTTTATCCTTACAGCTGCTAGTTAACATGTGATCCTGATTTCTGGCAGAGAAAAACAAAACACATTAAGGTGCAGAACTCCATGCATACATTAAAAACGAATTTTTCCCAGTTGTTGCCCAAGTTTCAGTTTTATCAGGTGCATGGCAAATACTGCAACAGTACATACTTTAACATTTTTGCAGTTGCTAGCTAAACACTCCGTTACCTTGTATTTTTCAAGGGATCCCATGCTCACATTATCAGAAGATTAAACTAAGACTGTGTATGCATAATCTTTGCCTCTATTCACAGATAAAGTTCCAAATTTCATCATCATATTTCAGCTGCTCAAAAATCCCTCTGCAAACTAGCACTTGCTTTCTGAGCATCAGGTGTGACAAGACAGAACTTGTCCACTCAAATTATATCTAAATAATTGAGTTGTGCAAACAACTAGAGTATAATACAAGAATGCAGTCAGGACATTTATACAATTATCAACTAATATTGCTAAAACTTTGGTCTTAACTAGATTGCGAACAACCACATTGCAAAACTGTATGTTTGCATGTGTAATTTTGTGTTAGTTCAAAGTGCGGGTCATTGCATATTTATGAAGCCTTAGTTAAAACAACAGCAAAGCAAAACCTAGACCTTTTGCCAATCAATCTAAAACCGCCATACCTATGACTTCGGCTAAGCATCACATTTTTAGACACAGGATTTTGTTCTGAACATCTCCAGATTCTAGCCGTATTAAAAATCTCACTACCCTGCAATCAAGTACATGTGGGGCATTGGTAGTGGGGTGGAAGGGAGTGGGGGCTGATTAATGTGGCAGATGTTCTAAGCTCGTTGTAACATGAGATTATCAACTGAATTTATACCTTACACTTCTTTTAAAATCGTATTTTGATTTGTCTGTCCTCTGAAGAGTTTCCATTTTCCCCCACTCACTGACAAACCTAAAAACAGCAACATTTCCAAAGCATGGAGAAAACTATTTAATGAAAAAAGATATATGTATATAAAAAGACTCTGATACAAGCCATTTAACAAAAACAAAAAAAAAGAGGGAATACTGAGACAGAAACAGACAGCAATACTTATATTTACATTATATTAAGAGAATAAATTTAATCAAATATAACATCTCACTTGGATTTTCAGGCAACCCTTCAGAAAGAGGGTTTTTTTACAGTAAAGATGGAACCAGAGTAAAAATAAATTTTCTATTTTAGACAGTAGTGGATATGACCCTTGTGTTGCAAGATGCTTTCAGAGATTACCCAAAACCAGACTGACTAAAAAGCTTCCCAAGTGCTGACTGTACGTTGCTCTGGCAAAAGCAGTTCAAAAGCAAAGCCTGTATTTACCCCAGCTTCATCATTCATGAGTTCATCAGCATCACTAATTTGCACAGAGGCAAGTAATTATAGTAGTTCTAACAATGAATTTTAGTGAAGTAGTAATCATACACCTAGGTGAATCCCATTGCTCTGTCCAACATCTTTAAGTCCACAAAGAAACCTTCCCCATTGTTTCATTTTAGCATGAAATTTGTTTTTAAGACATAAGCAATACCAAGTCTCTCACATTCCCAGTGCAGTTGCAAACACAAAACCTGTCACACTATAACCAGTTTTCTTTTTAAAGTAGATGCAGAAGAGCTTCTCTGTAACATTTAAAATAAGTTCTTCCTCCCCACAGCTCCTAAAGGTAGTTCAGCAATGGAGAATTTGTATTAAATTCTCAACAATATGTAAGTAGGTTGAGATGCATTGAGAAAAATACCGGAAGATTAGCCAATCAGTCTATGTATGGATATTCTCATGAGGTCAGAACACACGTATTTGAACCACAATCCCCTTTACAAAAGCCAACACCTTTCAGTGTTACTTGTGATTTCCATGGATCAGCAGCTATGAGGGCAACAAGAAGAGTTAAATATTTAAGAAGCCTCCACCAAATAATGATTGGCCAAAAGCAGCTGAAACTTCAGCTGGATTAACTGTACAAACCAGGGCAAACTGATGTAGTCCAGTACCTGCCCCATTATTTATGGACCTTTTTTTTCCCCCTCATACTGAAGGCAACAGAGCTGTAGATCTTACATATGGACGGAAGGTTTTTTTAAGTCTAGGACAACACACTGTAGGCATATAACACAGATAGCAGCAAAGTAACTTTCTGTCTGTTTGGGGGTTGGATTTTTTCTTGGTTTTTTTGAAAGCAGGAAAGTGCTTCAGAGCTCTGGAAAAGTGAGCAGGATCAGAACTCCTCATGGACGTTACGTGCATAGTCCATAAGCTTGCTGCCTGTGAAGTATTCACTATATTTCAGGATCTCCTCCAGCTCTAAGTGATGGTTTTGATTTTCGTCTGCTACTGCTATCATTTGCTTTGCTTCATTTAGGGCATTGTATTCATTCATAGGATCCATATATTCCTAAAACAAGAAAGAAAATAATTTTCAATCACTAAGAACACATTTCCACACATCAGAACGATGAACCTTAGCTCTATGTAAGCTTCAGCAATAAGCCACCCAAAGGGAACGTAAGTCATGGAAAAAGGTGTTAGGCACATCTTTTTAACAGCCTTACATCTATCTCGTAGCTATTTTTCCATTCACTGCTTCCTTGGCTCTTCTAGCAGAAATCAAGATTTTCTCAGCTTATGCCAGTGTCTACAATAAAATATTTTTGACATTTTGGTTGCAAACTAAACTCACTATCAAATGTGGTGGTTTTTGTGAAGAAATATCAATTCAAAATTAGAAAGTGGCACACTATTGATCTGTATAACAAATTTTCTTGTTTCTGGAGATAATCTTTTTAGAACATGTTCAATTTAGAACTTTCTTGTTCCATTTTAAACCACCAGGCAGACATTACAGAGGTCAGAAGTCTCAGAAACAAAGCATTTGCTCCTTCACCTAACTTGAAATAGATTAAAAGTTTTCAAGTGATGCACTTTAGTTCATGGCATAGAAGACTCAAGATTATCTTCAATTTCTTCCCAGAAGATGTGACATATACGTGCGTGCATCCATGTGTGTATACGTATACAAAGACTTCAGAGGTAAAATGGCTATTTTTAAAAGAAAATTCTCAGTAAAAAAGCTATTAACATCGTCTATGTCGCGATGTAACTGTTCATCCATATTACCACTATCCTTCACACCCACATCTTTGCATACTGAGAAGGTTAGGCACTTTAACATTCATCCTGTTTTGGGGAGAAGACCAACATTTTAGAGGTTCTCCTTTCACACTGCCTATGCTGCAGTTTGAATTCTGCTAGTCAAAGTACATTCTTACATCCAGAAAGGAAAAAGCCAGAAATAAGCCACGAGCCTCTTCCATTGGCCACAAAACTGCCACAACTATAGCGTGCAAAGTATTTTGTGTTGTTTGGTAGACTCTTCTGCAGACAGAATTATTAGAAGAAAGCCTTACTTCTGCAAACCAAAGTCCAAAAAGGCCACAAACTAGAATGCACACTTGAAAAATAATAATTTGTTTTTTTAAAAAAGAAAAACACTCTGAACGACAAGAGATCGCTGCTATTTTCTAGGCTACTGGAGCCCCAGAGTTTGTTGGTCATTGGGGGTTTTTTGGTTTATTTCTGAGCTTTGGTTTTTTTTAATGAATATATAGGTTGCCAGTTACTCCTTTTGCAACTGAAAGTATGACTCATTGTCCCATTAACCAGCGCACCTAATGAAGTCTGACTTGCTTTCATGCACTCCATATCCACACAAGTGTCTATGTAACAAAAAACCCTAAAAGCATACCTATGAATAACAGTTATGCTAGGAAAACTCCCCCTCCTCTTTAACAAAAAGCATAACAACACTATCTGCAAGCACTATAGAACAATACTATAATCCAAAGTTTTGTAAAGTAGACACACACACACACACACACCATACTGTTAATTCAAATATTTTTTGACTTCATATTCTCTAAAGCAGTTTCAATCCTGTATTTAAAAACCAACTATTGGTTTTAAAAACCCTCGAACTATTTGAGGAAGACTTACCTCCAGCTCTTCCATTGTGACAATACCATCATGGTTAGCATCAATGACCTCCTCAAATTCCTTCCTTCTGTCTTTTACCCAGTCATCATCAATATCTTGAGCTTGCTGGTTCTCTACAGTACCAACAGGTAATGAAATGAACTCTGAAAGGGTAAGTTTCTTATCTCCATCTTGATCTACAACAGAAGTACAGAGTAACTGAAAAGTACTTCCTTAATGCCCATTAAAAATGAGAAACTCCTTCATATCAGAGATGTCATGGGTACAGTCTGCCTGGTTTCAGCAGTCCACAATCCTGACTCTAGCAGAGAAGAATAGTTACCATTTATACCTTTGGCTAGCTGAAAACTCTCTGTATTATGGTACACACACAACGTTTTAGAAGGCTAAAAAACAAACTCATCAATATACTAAACAAAAAGAATTTTACTGGTCCTGAAGGACACACCAGGTGGCAAGCTTGGCTTTTTTTTTTTTTAATTGTTGCTGTTTAGTTTTTCAACAATCTACTGCAACAGAAATTTTCTTACAGCTGTATCCAATCCCCCCTTGTATTAGCATTCAGGTAAGTTAACCCTCATAAAAGACTGCATACTGGAGTTGTTCTGTCTGTGCGTGTCACACACCCAAGTATCACTGGAAACTCTTCATATTTATTAAGCTAACAACTAGCAAAGTCATAGATCTCTTTTTTTAATCCAGGTGTTCTAGCAGTTTTAAATATTTTTTCTATTGACACAATAGAAAAAAAACATGTGCCAATACTTATGAATTTTTAAAAAAATATTATTTTCTTAGAAACCTCAACCATTTATTTCCACTTTCATGACAGTACGTCACGATTCTTACATGGTTGCTGTACTGGGGAAGTACAAAGCAATTAATGCCCTCCTCACGGAACATTCACATCAATATATTTTATAATGTTTTACTATTCATCAAACCTTTTCTACTATTGCTAGAGTGATCCTACAATGCAGCAGTACTTCAGTGTGAAGTAGTGTCAGCTGGTCATCTCTGCATGAAGTACTCAGAGTATCTTCCTAACGTGTAATGTTGTGCTGTTCTTTAACAGCCAGAGACTAAATTTAGTCTTGAGATACACAGACAACTCCATAGAGATGCCAGCATTTGGGCTAACAGTTTGTTTTTCTTATTCATCACATTAGAAGATGTGTAGAACAGAACAAACAAGATGTGCCAAAATTTCAGATTGACCCATGACAGTGCAACGACCTAACAACGCCTACCCAACAAAACGGTTTGCAAGTAAACAACTCCCAAGAAACGTGTTTTAAAATGGCATACCCAAATCTCGGATGATTTCTTTCACCATGAACTTCAGCATTCCCCTACTATGCTCTGGATGAAGAAAGGACAAGAATTCTTCTTCATTCAACAACAGATCAGGAGGTGGGTTGTCAGCTTGGTACCACCGATCTTTCAGGTTATCTAAAACTTCCTGTGCTAGAAATTTTAGAAAAAGATTTAAGCTATCATGTTCAATCCATTTAAAGTTCCTGAAATATACCTTCCCCTGTTACTCAATTGTTTAAACAAGGATGACCTATGAACCAGTTATTTTACAGTTCAACTCCCAGGGAAAGCAAGTGCTGAGGGGAAACAAAGTACAACTAGTTTCATCTAGTTTGTGCTGAAACACTAGGAAAGATCCTTTAACCAAACAACTGAACCGAAATTAGGAGAGGGAAAAAAAAAGATTTAGCTACACCTGTATCAAAATTTCAACGTATCAAGTGACAAGTATTGTCCTACCAGTATTGTTAGCTGGTTCTGGTAGGAGGTATGAATAATCCAACTTTGTTCAGTACTTGCTGTTCTCCTTTCCTATTTTCATATTTGAAGCCCACTACCAACAGAAACCTTTCACCTGCCTGAATACCAGCAGTACCCTTCTTCTGAACGAAATAATTTCTGTTTTCTACTTCAAACCAGTCCTGTGCATTGAAACAGCCAAAACATTCTTAAAATTCAAAATAGTCTTCAGATTCACTATCTCCATGTATTGCAATTGTGACATCACACACACCTAGTTAATATCTACAAGAAAGGAAGATGTCAACCAACTCTTTTCCTACCCAAATAACAGCATTGAACAACAAACCCCTTAACATTTAGCATGTTTTCTTCTAAGACCAAATAACATGACTATCATTAAATCTAGAAAGATGCTTCTGATCCGTGAAGCACCGTTGTACTAGTGCTTTGGCTAATAGCACTACATAGGTTTATTCTACTCTACAGCACTTGTTAAGTCTACCACAGGTAAGAAAATATTCTCTGCCAACACAGCGGTTCCAAGCATGATCAAAGGGAAACATTTTATTACTCAGTGTTACAACACTCACCTTTTCTTATTTTAACTTGGCGTTTCTTAACACGACATTATCTAAACCAAAACCAGTTGTATTATTGTTCTGAACTCTTTTTAGGTATGTTCAAGCTCACAGGATTTGAGTTAACAAAATGGTTAACTCACAGTTACTTAACAGAACACAGTGTTCTACCACAAAGTGATGATCGAATTATGTATACTGCACACAGTTTTATCTGCAGAGTTTTTCTCTCCAGCCACACCGCAATTCCAGATAGCGCCCATAAAGCAGAGGACTAAAAGCTATGAAGAGACTTCTGCCCTGCCTCTGCTCCTACCTTCTTCCTTTACCCTATAAAAGGCACAGGATTCAAAAGAATCACCTACCCAGAAAGAACTTGTATCCTTAGACTCAGATACATCATCCAGTATTTCAGCCTAAAAATGTGATTTGTTGGAACTATGAGAGATTTAAGAGGGTAGGCTCTACAAAAGAAAGTTTGGAAACATCAGGAACAGATGCTAAGCTAAGCACCAAGAAATGTATTTAGTTTTCAGTTACTTAAGGGTACAAGTACTTATTACTCCTTTTAGCTACCTTGTCTGTTCTATATCAGACAGAATTCTGACTTCAGACCTAAACCCTGCATATGTTTTAGTTATCACTATAATTTAATAAAGGGAAATATCTTTGCTGCAAGGAGCAAATGCAAGTTGAAGTACATGTGTAAAAAAAGATACATCAGCACCAAAATCACTTTACATTTGCACTTCTTTCATTTCATCTTACACCATGCAGACAAGCACTTTTTAAGTGAGTTTCTCCTAAACTCAACTGAGAATCGTAATTTGTATATCGGTTTCCGCTAAAACCATGCCTCTGATTTGAAGAAAAAAACACCCTGCAACACACAACGTGAATATTATGTGCACCTAGTGGTCCTGAACATAACCAAACAGGAAAAAAAATACCTGTAGAGAGTATTCTTTTTCTGGTGTAGACATTTTCTAAATGACACACTGGAAAAAATACTGCCTGTAGCACACCCTGCTATCTGCAAAATACGCTAACAAACACAAACCGGAAGCATTTGCTTTTCACAAGTTTTAAAAACACTCTGAAAGACTACAGTCTTCAGATAGTAAACTTTTTTTTCAATTTAATAAACTGTCTTAAATAGCTCCTGCATGCTTTTGGTTGCTGAGTTACAAGAGGAAAAAAAAACCCAACAGTTGCATCTACATTTTTGAACTGCCAGTTGCAATGAAGAGTTAAGTCTTCAGTGAATGTTTTTTTGTGAAGAGTAAAGAAATCCTTCAGAGTCTTAATATGAATCTTAGGGCAAGTTTGTAAATGGCAAGTTTTAGTCATATCAAGGACACAAGTAAACACAGAAAAATCAAATCACTTGCTTATGGTTTTCCAGTGTAGCCAACCCCAAAAGTCACAAGTCAATCTCCCTTTGCCTACTTTTCTTACTCAGTCTTAAATGAAACTCAACTGTCAGTCATCAGTTGAAACTGTCATTATCTGCATAAGTTAAATAAAGTTGCGTCCCTAATTTTGGCCTGGCATCCAAACTGTAGTGTGCTTCTGCGCAAGACAGAGCATGCCTTAAGATCCACACATTCAGTTATTTTTTATTACACAGACCAAAAAAGAGTACTTTTACACTGCACTAGAGTATGAAAATAAGTTTTGCCTATCATCCTCAGGAAGTGGTAGATAACTAATTGGATTTTCCCAAACAAGGCTTGTTACCTAGGTAGAAAAATGATTGTGCACACACTTTCCTTATTCAGCAAATCTTTTATCTGATGAGCATTCCTGTAAACTGTAGTTAACCACACTGCCATAGAACATGCTGCACAGGTGTTTTCCCTGCCATAAAATTCAAAGGCCCATTTGCATTTTAGTTGCTTTTTGATAAATGGAAAATATAACATAACCCACTTTTAAATGACTAATTCCTGCAAGGAAAGGCTAAGGCTTCGTGTTTTACTTAACAGTAAATTTAAACACTTTTAGATGGGGGGGAGTGGGGAGATTACTCTGTTAAGAGTTGCCATGTTTATACCAAGCCAGATTCAAATGAAAGTTTCAAAAGGAACAAGGAAGAAATGATCAATCTCACTAACCTAAAGAATCAATCTCTTTCTATAGAGAACTTAGATGAAACATTGAACAATTGTTAGGCAACATTCTGCTATTAACTTCTAGTATGCTTTGCAGTGCCTAAGCATGTACCCATTTAAACACAACACTGGTAGCACATACACCCCTCCCCAATTTTACAACAGGAATAGTGTATAGCAGCTCCCTTTCATTTGGAGCAACAGGGGACCTGGTTCCCACATTAACAATACAACGGTCCACAGACAATGCAGGTCTGACAAATTTTAGCAGACTGTTAAACAACTGAAAACTATTCAAATAGGCAGTAACAAATAAGCAACCAAGATTTTTCAGTGTTAAATATTTACATCAGGTGTGCTGGGAAGGCAGATTTGAGTTGGAAAGAAATCTAGTATTTCTGTCTTATGACTTACACATTCTACATTCGTGTAGAAGCAGAAGAACAACTAAAACATTAATCGTCTATTAAGAACAGTTTTGACATTCAGGTTTTAGGAAAGTAAAAGAAAAACCGACACACACCAATAGTCTGCACTTACTTTCTTCATCTATTTTCAACTCTTCATTGTTCCTGATCTTCTCTGCAATCTCTTTTTCATTAAAGCCCTTACTTGCCAAAAATTTAATTTTATATTCATCCCAGGACACGTGGCCTGTAAGAAAGAGCCATATCTCAGACAAAACATAGTATGCTTAAATGATAAACTTTTGGTCTCATTACTTAAAACAGTATGTGCTAAAATCTTTTGGTTCAGCACTATAACCATCACACTAAGCTTATGAATGGCAATATGAAAACTATCACCCGATTCACTTTTATGTTTCTTTAGACCAGACAGGCCTTGTGAAAATAACATAAATATGTCACCGTCCTCACCCCATCCCTGGCAGAGCCACTTAACTTGTTACAATTTCCTATACCGCAAGTGAAGTAACATAGCGGTCAACGCAGAACTACAGTGCTGACTGGAGCACACCACAACAGTTTTGATCCATGCAGTAAAACAATAGAGCAAAGAAGGGATTACATGCAGTCCAAAGGAACTCGGATTTTGTCACAGCACATCTGAAGAGCAGCCAGTAGGTTTGGCTACTAGCAACTGGCTTAAGATGTCACCAGGAGATGGAGGAATTGTTCATCTTACCATCACCATCAGGATCCACAGCTCGGAAGTGCATTTTATTCTCTTCCACAGCTTCCTGGAAATGTTCATCTGTCTTTTCCATGATCCAGCGCTGCATCTCTTTCGCACCTATTTTTTTATCATTATTTATATCCACCCTATGTATGAATAGCAAACAAGATTTAGATTTGGGGATTGGGGGAGGTGTGGTATATTTTTATATTCTAAATTAATTATTCAACAGTAACAAACATAGGTTGCTACAGAAAAGAGTATATTTATAACCCTCTCTGAGAAGTTGTACATCCTTTGAACTACAGAGTAAACAAGTAGCAAGTTAGCCATTTATTTCATAATTAAACTACAACGTCTAGGTTACTACTCAGAGAAAAACATTCAGTCATACTTCACTTTGCTGCAAGTTAACTCATTTCAATATTATGTTTTTGAGTAAATTTTTGAAGTAGAGGAAACCACAAACACATCACTCATGGCATATTAGCTCATTTCCTATTGGTTCAGAATTGTCAACTGCCAGCTGCTGCAGACTTTCACTACTTTGAAAAATTTCTTCTCTAACATTCTCTCAAACCATTAACTTCCTCTCAATTTATCTTTCCAAGTCCTTTTTACCTTGATCTTCCAAGATCTCTGAAGTTTACTGATGAGCTGCCTCCCTGTGTCTGCCTAGATCACATCACAACTGTCGTGACCATTAAAAGCAATGAAAATACAATGTGAACAACCTCAGTGGCAAGGACTTTCAAACTATTTAATACTTTGACTGTAGTACCTGTAAGTGGGGAAAAAACCAAACAAACCAAGTTTCCTCTATTATACCTTGATCTCTGGTAACACGTAACAGCTGATAGTTTTTAATTTTTAACACATTTAAAAGTTCTGCACATACAGTTGTTCTCCATTAGGTTTCTGAGTTATCAGGCTCACTTTGCTTTGTCAAAGGATATGCTTGTACCCAGTGCTGTGGAGCTACAGAACTAAACTTTTTCTACCTAACTAAAGTTATCAGTAAGTGTCCAATCTGACAATCCACTGTTCTCCTTAGTGTACTACCAATACTGCTTTATTGTATTAAGATACACTGCCATACCATCAATTCCATTAATGCTTATTTCATTAAAAAGAAGTTAATATAAAAACTACAGTTGAAGAACAAATACAAAAACAATAACATGACACTGGTTTTTTGAGCATATCATTAAGTATTTATTCAAAAAAGATATAACAATATTTAAAACTGAAAAGACATCACTAACATTTAGGAGGCAAGATTCTATTTAAAGCATACCAAAACCACTCTTGTTCAACTAAAAAAAAAAACCAAACAGCAAAGAAAAACACAACAAAAAACCCCCAGCTTGACTCTGGCTTTTTTATCTGTTTGTATCACTGTCTTAACAGTACTGAAGTGTTATCATTGAAACTCAAGTTATTAAATATGTGATTTGCCTTTAAATGTCAACTAAATGTTAGAAGCTTAAGGCAAATAACAACCCTAGCACCTAATCTTCTACAACACTTAGCTGTATTCACAAATGCAGTATTAGTGGTTTTAAATATTGTATCACATCCTATCATATCACATAACTATCATATCGTATCACACAGCTTTTCAGTATCAATGGCAAGACCAGTAAAATGGTCATGTTCCATTCGCGCCACCTTGCACTTACCAGGTGAACAAATGTGGGTTTTGAGATGGAGTAGGTACTATCAAAAAAAGAGAAGGGAAAACAAAGTATTTTCCCCTCAACATTTAACATTCTAGTTTCCTTAGATCAAAGCTATCAAACTTATTACTTCCAAGCTGTACTTTCCATCTAAAACATGTTTTAACTAAGGAGAAAGGTAACAAACATCCTACTTATTGCTCTTCTAGCTCATGAAACTACACCTTTGTTCTGCTACCACAGTTCACAAGTCTCCAATGACTCAGATTTTCATGAACTAGCAGGCATCCACTGTACAAGGTGAGCTGAAATCCCTTCAGTGTCCATAAACAGCACTTCTGCTTTTGAGAGGAATATTTACAACTGTATGAAATATAAGATATGATCCTGCTGTGAGGTTACCATCTAAGGCGATAAAAACAAAAGACTGTCTATGCTTCCTTAGATAAGTTATCTCATTTGGAATGGACTGCTGAAAACATTTCCACTAATAATGACAAGTTTAGATAATTACGTTTTGCCGAACAACCTAACACTGGTAAGTCACGGAAAACTGATTTTATAACACGGTGATGGGCAATCTGTTTTCTGAGGCAGATAGGCCTGAACCCTCAAAAATGTTAGTAAAGAGTGGTACATTCTAATGCTAAAAAAATTGCTAGAGAACAAGTACTGGCAAGAAAGAATTTAAGCTCAAAAACCCAAGATGAATCCAAGCAAGAATATCATCCCAGATTACAACTTTGCTCAAACCTTCCTTGGCAATCTGTGTATAGAAATCTTGTGACTATTTCTCAAACTTCATGATATATCAGCTCAAAAAAAAACCCCAACCAAACCACCAAACTTGATTGCTCTTTTCTACAATAAGCATAGTTTTCTGCTAGAGAGTGCTATCTCAAACTTGTAGAAACTTAGGTATATGATGTATTACTTCCTGAATTGACAGCAAAGTAAGTTTTGTAAAAGCAGGGACTACCGTTAGCATAAATTTGAATTAAAAAACAGACTAGAGAGCAATTTACCTTATTGCTTACCTGTCTCATTCCAAAGAAAATTATAGATAAACCACAGCCCAGACAGTAGTTGATGCAACATGATAAATACCAGTAGTATTAATACATTTCAGTAATGGGCAGCACCAGACATAAGGGCTCCTTATGATGTCTAAGTTCAAGGTTAACACTGACTATTCAAGCTATATTTCATTATCTATTCACAGCCTAAATGTTAATACTACCTTTGAGTAAGAAACAAGCAAGTATGCTACTTTGTAGGATAATAGTAAACTTTTCCTTAACAAAAGCCTACAGTAAGGGCTGCACTGAATGTAAATGTCAAGCCTGGAAGAACAGGTTTTAAACAATTCAGCCCGGTTTCTCAACCACAAGCCACTAAAAATCAGATTTTTGTGGCCACCTTTCAAAAGGTCCACATCTGAAAGTATTATCAATAAACACTGGCCACTCAGGTTTTCAGATTCATGTTTTCAGGTTCCTAAATGACAACACTCCAACGCTGCCCGAGGTATCGGGGGGGGGGGGGCAGGAAGGCAGTGTTCTTACCTAAAGGACTAAAGATAACAATTTCCTTGAGCACCTAACACGTATCACTTTAGAGTTGGTTTCTGTTTCATGCAAATAATGAAAAGCAGATCCAGAGAATAATTTTTAACAACAGAAACCAAAGCAAAGCTCTACTTTACATGGTAGGAGGTATGCAAAATTTATTACATGTATATTTAAATGTACAGGTTAGGAAAAACACGAATCAGGGTGCACACACTACTTAAAACCTTCCAATGGCATACAGCATAAACAGTTTTTTAGCTGATTATTACAAATCTGTAATCTAAATTGAAGATATCAAAATGGGAAAGCTTAAAATGTCCCCTCTCCTCATTCTTTATTCTACCTGCTATTGTCCAACATCGGCTGTCATTACTAGCACCTTCCCACCACAGACAGAATGCACACAGGTAGAAATGAATACTGTGTTAGGCTATGAGACAAATCCAAAATTAAGAAAGGGGGCATGGATCTTGCCAAAACCACTCCCTATGTGCAGTCTGAACACAAACAGTCGCAGCTGTAAAGCCTAGAAGAGCTACACTTACAAGCATTGTGCGATTCAGAACAAGTTCTGCTTTAGGAAAGGTTAAGTTCATGACTTTTAAACAAGGGGAAAAAAACAAACCAAAACACACCTCTGTACATGGTAGTAGTTAACGGAAGGTGTATTTAAGCCTGTGACCTGATGAATGACCGTCAAGGTAAGGCACTCGGCTAACACAAAGATTTTAATTTTTAAATCACAACTAGGGCTGCTGCTAAGTAGCTGAAAACATCAGCAAAACGCAAATGCTAGAAGGATACTCAACTTTCAAACTCCCAGAGGTAACTCCATCACCACAAAAACACACTGACAGAAAGCCACACACATTACATTCTTCTGTACTTGAACTTATCAGTTTTGTTCAGTACATGTAATTTAATTTACAAGATAACTGACCCTTAGAAGGCAAGGCTCACCAAACTGAATTTTAGTACAGAATGCCATTGATTTAGCGAAATCAGCGTCACCATAAATACACTCGATTGCTTTCAATATCCTTCCCCCTTCCCTCCCATCAACGCCCACCTACACAACCTAAGCTACACCATACAGAAAAAGAATAGAAAAATCTATAGATTCCAGGCTAATTTAAACTATTTAAATGGAGACTATAGCAAATTTTTTTTTTTTTTTTTGCAATTATGAGAAGTACAAGAAGGAAGGATGTCAATTAAGTTCCTCTCACAGATTTTCTTGACCTGAAGGTACGTGAACACTTCCCCCCTTGGCAGGGAATGAAGACTAAAAAGGTGCACCCAGGATTTTCTGCACCATGCCCTAGTTTCACAAGGCAAAGTGGAAGTACTGGTTAACTTGTAAAACACCACTTCTGTAGACAAGTGAGGCTTGTCTTGCCAGTAACGAGTGACTTCAGAAAATGAAATACAGAATTATGAAATGCCACTTGTTCTTTCAGTCACATACAGCTTGCTCGCCTAGAAAAACATGGTTTGAGGAGCTTTTCTTCCATGTTTCAACTTTATTTTCAGTAATCCTATTAGACAATAATTTATGCTTTGAATTGACTACTTTGTATCATACTGGCATGCTGTAGAATCTCAGCTTTTATTAATTAAGACCACATTACATGTTTTCTTTATGTCGTCAAAGAAAATATTTCCAAAGCATCTGGAAGCCTGTGACTTACTAGCTTTTCGCAGAAGTTCATAGTATTTCCCTTTTCACTCAGCCTTTAAAAGTATGTCTAGAAAGCAACCAAATTCCTCAGAATGCTTTTCTACATTTTCTAATCTGATCATCTGATTGGAATGTAATTTTAAGTAAGTATCTGAGCGAAGCTGATCTTGAATCCAATTGCTTTAAGCTTCCTAAGACAACCTCTTTCATAACAAACAGGCAGAAATGAACGGAGTTTGCAATTTGTGAATGACAATTTACTAACCACCGTTGAATGTTTCCAATAAACATATAGCAATAAAGAAAATGAAACCTTCTAAGCACAATCTTAATATTTGTATATATCCTGCCCATGAAGTTAGTGGTCTGAATAGCAGACATAGTAATAAAGGATTCTACTCTAAATGAAAAAGGCACTCTAGTTTGCCTATTTGCTTTAGCTACCTTTACTCAGAACACCAGAAAAAAAAATCCAATGTTATTACTGATATTTTTTTCCCTGTTAATGAAAAGTTTGGAAAAAAAAAAAAAGCTTTGTTAAGCCTTCTCATTTTATCTCAACTATATGCGCATCCCCACACCATCATCAGCATTAAGAGCACCAATGCAATTTAAGCTGTTCTCGTAAAATTAATCCTCCATTGCAAAAACGCAAATAAAGCCAATTCTGCCACCTAGTGTCTAGAAGTATATACTGATTTTGATTTCAATTATGTTTACTGACCTCCAAACATCTGACAGTTTATTAGCTGCCACAAACCTCATCTAGCACAAGTGCTTTATAAAAGGAAAAATGCTTTAATGTCTAAAAGTAAAGTTAATACTTTTACACCAAGTAAAGAGGTAGATGAAGTTTTCAAAAAGGCTACAAAAGAAAAATTTAATCTTTCTATTCTCACGTTTCATTCTCATTCTCTTTTCTTCTTCTAAATTCTGAGGAACTAAGCGTTTTGTTTAGTTTAATTTAATGAAGAAAGCTAATTTAATGCTAGAAGCTGTCATGCCAATTTCTGAATTCTTGGTATGTGCAGTTAGGCATAATTATTTTTAACCTTCATGTATTTCATTTGAAACACTCGAATTTTAGACACTTAGCATCTACTAGAAAGTTTTATGAACAGAAAGCAACTGTCAGTTTGTTTACCACAGTCTTACCCCATCGTTTGTCTGTCCTTTTTCTTCCCTTCTACCTTTACTATTGTCTTTTCAGTGTTTTCCCTCTGCAGTTATTTGCAGAGGTCACAACAGAAACAAATACAAGATCCGTATGGAATATAAGACCAAACAATAAATAAGAAACTTAGATTGCCAATTGAAACCAAACTTACAGCAAAGCAATAGAGCATACTACTGCTAGAACAAAACTGGAACAAACTCCCACCCTCCCAACTCATTGCATGGGCATCCTACCACTAAGGAACACAAGTGTGATTAATTATTCATTGAGCCAGGAAACCAGGAAAAAGTAACATTAATTTTCATACCTCGAGAGGCCATGTAGGGGTTTTTTGCATAGACACAATGCGTTTTGTCATAAATTTTACTAGACCACAGCACCAGTCCTGTATATTGATCATGACTCTCAACACATGCATTCTCACTCCTGAGAACGGTTTATGCGGGTATGTTAATACCTTCGTAACATGAACACAGTGCTTATAGTATGACGCTTTCCCCCTCATCATTACAATTTTTAAATATTACAGAAAAATTTGCAAGTTTTACTCTGAAGATCAGAGAAAGAGGCTGCACTGTTCTTGGCAATGTACGTAACTTACTTTGAAAAGATGACCATGAGCTTCTTCCTGTTTTTCCTGGGTTCTGAATCTTCCTCAAACTCTTCCATCTCTTTTCCTAGAAAAACTTCTTGATGAAATTCTTTGTTAAGATGTCCATCCATCTCCATTTTGACCCCATTCAAGTGATCTGGGGGCAAGATCTCATTCTCATCTTTACTGTCAGCTGGCTTTTCTTTGAGGGCCGAATTATTTGCAGGCCTTGCATAAACATCCATTAGAAGAAATACAAACAGAAGGGACAAATACAGAGATCCCAAACTGCAGAGAAAGGCCTGTCTTGACATCATTTTTTCCTTTTTATTCAAAATATTGGTTGATTAAATTACTGTGAGTGGATTAAATGATCTAAAAACAAAAAGGAAGACACATGCAAATTAAACTCTAGAACATTATGTCACTAATAAAACGTCTCCTAAAGTTCAGAAGAACCTACACACACAAGTATTTGCTGTGAAAGAATAAAAAAGCCTGTTAAATAATAAATACACGACAAGAAGTTAATCTGTGTAAGTCTTCAGTCTGCACAATTGTAACCTCTGTCAGAGGACTTTCGAAGATAGCCTAGTCCTGCTAGTAGCACGGCCTAGTTCTGCCCTGACATCCATCTCCAGGTGTCATGGCATGAGACGACCCGACAACCGAAACCCAAGCGTTTACTGAGAAGTCGACCCAGCGCAGGAAGCACCTACTGTCCGAACGTGCAGCCCAAGCTCGGCTGGGGCAATGTCCCTAAGGCTGGCGCCGCGCTCCCCAGCAAGCCGCAGGAGCAGCCACGACAGCACAACCGCTTACGAGGGATCC